TCGAAGGCGCACGTGGGGAGAGAGGGCAGAAGCTGCTGGGGAGGCCGTGGTGGCCGGCAGACGACAGAGCCGGCGGTGGCCGCCGTCCAGGGAGCAAGATGGGGCTGCGGTCCTCGGAGGGAGGCTGGGACGCCGGCATGAGGTAGAACTTGATCGCGGGGTCCAAGAGAGGCCGAGGACGGGACTCCCTGAGCAGGGCTTGGAAGGATGTGTCGGGGTGACGGCCACACGGGGGCCTGGGCACAGTTCCCTAAGATGGGGAGCACCCCGGAGGACCAGGCTGGGCCTGGCGAGGGGATCGCCAGTTCGGTTTGGGGTGTGTTGGGTCGAGGGTACCTTTGGGCACCCGAGGGTGACATTGAGTCGATGATTGGAAGATAAACCTGGGGGTGCTTCGAGCTCCCACCCAGTGGTGACGTAGAGAGGCCGGTCTGGCACTCAGAGGCCAGGCGGCAGCTGTGCGATCTCTGGCGGTTACGGTCCCAGGTCACACAGAGAGCTGCGAGCGGGGCGGGGATGAGGAGCCGGGTGGACGAGGAGCCGGGTGGACGCTCGCTACCCCTCGCTGCCGCCGGGAGACGCTCTCCGGCCCTCCCTGTGGATTTGCGGGAAGCGCAGGGGACGCCGGGCGGGCGCAGCCCGAGGCGGGGTGTGCGCTTGAAATCGCAGGGTGTGCGCTTGAAATCGCGGGGTGTGCGCTTGAAATTGCGGGGTGTGCGCTTGAAAATGCGAGTCCTCTCAGCTTCTGTCCCCTTGAAGCGTTGGCAAGAGCCCAAAAATCTATACTTTTTTTTTTTTCTGCTGCTAAATAATGGCCAATCTGCCTCAGTCACACTGACCCTGTGAAACCAGAGGCAGCAGACAGAGGACTCTCAGGATGCTCTGAGCCCCGGCTGGCCTCGTGGGTCAGAACGGGCCGGAGCGGGCCGGCGCCAGCAGCTCTGCTGGACAGCAGGTGCCGTGGCTGGAGTAGGGGGTGGCGCGGCCGGTGCCAGCCGCTGGTCTGGCCTGGAGCTGAGGCGACTGCCCTCAGTCCTCCGGACGCCCCCTTCTGGAGGGGCCGCATCCCCTCCAGGCTGAAGTGACCTCCACACGTGAGCACTGGGACCCTCGCATCTTTTCCTCTGGCCCAGACACCCCCCTGGGCCCAGAGCCGCTCCTCCAGCAGCCCGGGTCTCTCCTCGCCCCCGAGAGACCCAGACGCAGCAAAACCTCCGCACACGCCAGGCTGGACCCACGTCGTCACCTCCCTTCTGCCCAGTCGCCCAGCCAGAAACCCGGGGGCTCGCCAACCCCTCTGGGGAGCCCCGGGGCGCCCTCCTCTCCTCTCGCGTCTGCTCACACACCTCAGCCCTCACTGGCGTTGCCCCCAGGTTGCTGCCTCGCCCACCTCGCCTTCCGATGCGCCCTGCACCTGTCACTGGAGAGGTCTTTCCAGTGAGACCTGCGGATGTCACCTCCTGTCCCACTGGCTCCCGGACGGACTTTAGCCTGCTCCCGACGGCCCAGGAGGCCCTGTGCCGTGTAGCTTGCCGCCCCCGACTGTCCTCGCCACTGCCCACCTCCATGTGACCCCCCATCAGGCCCCATGGGGCAGTGGCATCGCCTGCCCAGATCTTCCCGTTGGCTGTCTTTGCACGTGGTGTTCCCCTCCCAGAATGCTCTTCTCACCCCCCGCACCGCCAGCTGAGCCAGATCCCCCTCCCGGTCACCTCTTCACGGCTCAGCCCAGGTGCCTCTGCTCTGGGGTGCAGCCCCTGCCGCCTCCACGGGCGCTCCCGGAGCAGCTCACAGCCTGGGGGCCGGGCTCCAGCTCCCTCGCCAGGTGGGGCACGTGTGTGCAGGAGGCAGTGGGGGTCTGGGGCGAAAGCTGGATCTCAGAGTCAGACAGAGCCAGGTCCAAACCCACACAAGGACAGGGCGACCTCAGGCAGGTCACCCGTCTCCACGACCCGCAGCTTCTCCGGTTCTAACATGGAGACAACAACATGACGTGTCCATTGGGATTGTCCCTCGCCCACTTAACGAATACTTACGAGCACCGATTATGTGCCAAGCGTGGTCGTCAGCGCGGGGGCGAAGCAGTGAGCAGAGCAGCCGAGTCCCCCACTGACCTCTCAGTGGAGAGACGTAGAACACGGACCCCACGCACGCCAGACGCCACTGAGCGGTGCGGGGCGCCGGGCCTGGCAGGGCGGGTGAGCAGGCCCCCGTTTGAGCACAGACGAGAGGAGGCAAACCACGTGGGTGTCCGGGAAGTGACCAAGTGACCTGTCCAGGAACCGGGGGACAAAGTCCAGGAAAGGACAGGAAAGGCTGGGGCAGGGACACGTGTGGGCCGTGGGCCTGGAGGAGACTTTGCCGTGTCCCCGAGATGGAGCCACTGGGGTCGAGCAGAGACGACCGTGACCGGGCTCAGATTTTAACAAGGTCACTGCCTCAGGGGCCAAGGCGGGGACTGAACAGCCATGGAGCGCGGCCTGGGCCACAGGGGAGGGGGTTGGCACGCAGCGGTCAGGTGCCGGGTGTCACGTGGACGGGACGGCCAGTGCTTCGGGCGTGCCAGGCACAAGTGACACAGTCGGGGTGCGAGAGACACTTGTTTGGCCAGTAATTGATTGAAATAACAATAATATTATTTTACTAGGGACAATGACAGTTACTAGGGCCATGGCGCAGGGGTTGTGGGAGCCCAATGGAGGCGAAGGGGCCTCTCCTGACCAGGACAGTGGTGTCCTCTGCTGGTGTGGACAACACGGGCCAAGGCGGGGCTGGGATCCCCCGACCCGTTGGGAGAAACCGGGGGGCACTGCCTACTCCCGCCGCTCCTGGCCCAGTCCCACTGCCTGCTGGCCGGGCGGGGCAGGACCTGGCGTCCCCTGCCTCTCGGAAGGAGAGGAACATCCAAGACCCAACACTGTCTGGGAGGCGCAGCTCTTTGCAGAGGGGTCCAGCTCCAGGGGCGCTGGGGGCTCGCTGGCTTGTGAACCAGCGCATTCTAACCCCACCGGCCACTGCTGTGACCTTTGCACCCTGCGGCAACTTCCTGGCAGCAAAGGGAAGTGGCATCCTGCAAGGCTGCAGATGCTCCTTGACGGTGAAGGAAGAACATTCTGGAGACAAGCACACGGGTGGTTTACGAGAGGGGTTCACAAACCGCCAATCAGCAGTTTTCATTTTGGCCTGTTTCTTCGTTTGAGAAGTCGTGGGGTGACCCCAGTCCCGAGCCACCATGTGGCGGGAGCAGAGGGGAACTGAGCTCCTGGCAGTCCTCCCAGGACCTGCACCTGTGCCCCCAGGTGAGTCCCCTGCCCTTTCGGGCCTCCGTGTCCCCTGCTTGTGAACGCAGAGCTGCCACACTAACGTCTGCAGGGTGCCTGCCGCTCGCGACTCCAGACTGCCTACCCTGCCCTGTGGCTCCCCGCATGGCCCGGGCTGAGTCTGGCGCAGGTACCTCCATCCTCCCTGGCCCTGCGTCTCCCCAGCTCCGTGCTGGGTGAGCTCCAAGCGTGGCAGAGGACCCCCAGAAGCCCTGCCCACAGCAGGAGAGCCCGCGATGACCCAGCTACAGACAGCCATGTCCACAAACTGCATAGATACGCCTCATAAACCCGAATCGAATGTGTCCCCAGCTCACTTCCTCCTTAACTGGATCCCAGACATGTCGATGGCCATTCTGGTGCCACCCAACTCAGAGGAGGGGTGACAGAGGGAATGAGAACAGAGACAGTGGTTGCCACCAATCACAGTGAAACGTCTTACGCAGATCCGAGTGACCTACCTGGGGCCAGGCCGGCCCGCTAGCAGGGGGCGCGGGGCCCACCATCACCAGCATCACTGGACATCGCCCTCTGGCTGCATGGGGTCCGCCTAAGCCTAAACGAGTTGGGAGGTGCTCCCAGCTCCCCCGCCCCAAGATTCTCTTGAGGTGCCATCAGGGTCCCCGATCACTGGCCACTCCAGAGGCAAGACGGCCTTGGAAATGGCATCTGCTGCCACGTGCTGGCATTCACCCAGCCGGTGCCACCTTGGAGATCGTGCACCCCCGAGTGGGTTCCCCATGCCAGGGAGGTGAGCGTTCGGGTCTCTCGCAGGCCCCCCGCTTCCTCCGTGCCTGTGGACAGGCCGCAGCCCTGGGTGACGTGGGACCCCTCCTCGGGTCCCTTCTCTGTAGGGAGCTGTCGGCATCGCCATAACTTCCACCCCTTACACCTGGGGACTTTCAAATGAAAACAGCTCTCGTTCCTTGCCAGCTGTCTTGCACCGATTATCCAGCTTAGATCAGCTTGCTTACATCATTTAATTCCTAAAACAACCTTGTGGGGGCGTTATTATCATCAGTATCTCCACTTTACGGCTGAAGAAACGGAGGCTCAAAGAGGTTGCCCAAGGACACACAGCTGGAAACGGGCAGCCTGAGCCCGAGCCTGTTCCCACCCAAAGCACCACAGTGCCTTCTCCCCAAAGAAGCGCAGTGGGCCCAGAGACGCAAGGACCCACCGAAGGCCACACAGCACGTCGCCGGCTGCACACTAACCCGGGGTTCCTAACTCTCGGGCCTCTGTTCTTGCTTCTCTCTCCCCGTAATCCGGGCCCTCCACGACTTCTGGGCGTAACAGGTTCTCCTGGGGGAGGGACGCAAAAGAAATTTCTCTGACAAAGAGGTACGGCATAGATTCCTACGAGAGTCAGAAAGTCTTAGCACAGAGCATGACAAGTCGTGCCAATCCGCCCAACCGGGAACCGTTGGGACTGTAATTTCTATCAGACTGTCATGAGCTGAATGTCCTTGTGGAATGTAGGGAGTCTGCACAGAGCGCAGCCTACACAGCCCCTCTCGTTCAAAAACGGTCAGGAGTAAAAATGTCCCTTTGGTGTGTAAAGAGGAATCACTAATACAAAGACACAAATTCCTGGGAGAGGGACGCAAAAGAAATTTCTCCAACAAAGAGGTACGGCATAGATTCCTGCGAGAGTCAGAAAGTCTCGTACAAAAACGGTCAGGAGTAAAAATGTCCCTTTGATGTGTAAAGAGGAATCACTAATACAAAGACACAAAAGAGAATTAGTGGAATTTTGGAAACAAAACAAATGTAGCCGCACTGGGGTACAGAGGTTCGTGGAGGGAGGGGCGTTCGCAGGCTGGCGTTGGGGCGGCGGGGGCCAGGCCTGTCGACGGCAGGCGAGGTCTTCGCCAGGGCCGGCGGCGTTGGGCAGACTGCGGCGTATGAGAAATACGTAGGGAGATGAATGAATAAGCGAGCGAAGGAGCAGAGAGGGGGGACAGGTGAGGCTGGCAGGTGGGCCCCTTGCTCTCGCCGGCTCAGTGAACTCCAGCGTGCTGCGGGGAGGACCTGTGTTCCCAGGTGCCCGAGTCTCCAGGGGACAGATCCGGGGCCTCGCAGCAGCAGGGACCTGCCCCGCTCATCCGGGGGCGCCTGGCCCGCGAGAGTCAGAGACCTTCTGGGCCAGAGCATGGCTCAGGGGCTGTCCATTCCTTCCTGGGACACCGCCCTGCCCAGCCCCCTCTCCTTGCCAGGGCTCCCGGGGCCGAGGCCTTGGCCCGTCCGGCTGGGGCAGGCAGAGTGCCCCTCACACTTGGCAACTGCCTAGAGATTCCAGGGAGGTGGCCTTAAGGATGAGACACTGTGTGAATGAAGGAATGTGTGGTAGGAAGTGACTGTGGTGACTCAGGGTGACTCAGCCTGGAGCCTGCCAGGGGCCAGCTGAGCAGCCGTCTGCGGCCGCAGCAGCCCTCACCGGCCCACCTCGGGGCAGGGGCCAGTTCCTCTTTCCCCAGAGCACGTCTCGCAGCCTGGCTTCCTGCCCAGACACTCGGGAATGATGGCGAAGAGGGCACATGGCAGGTACCTACGCAGGAGTGAAGAGGAGAGAAACTGTGAGCAGGAGGAGAGAGAGGCCGGGCTGCTGCCCATCACCCCCGCGTCCCTGGGAGCCTCCCGCCTTCCTTGGGAGCCCATCTTCCCCAGCAAGTCCTCGCGTTACAGACGGGGAGACCAAGGCCTGGAGGGGAGGTGATCGACCAAGGCCAAGGGGCTGATGAAGCTGAATCGAGAAGAGGCTTCAAGTCTCCCAGTCCTAGCTTAGGTCACCGATTCCCCAGGCTGCAGCCCAGTTGGTGGAGGACGCGGACATCATGCGACACAAGCCAAGGCTCTGTCCAGGGGGCCTGCTAGCCCCTTTGAGGTCTCTGCCAGCATCATCTCCCATTGCCTGCATTCCCCCTAGAGATGCACTCAGATGCTCATTTTATTGTCTTTCAACCCATCACTTCATCTGCCCTTCTGTCCATCTGTCCACCTGTCCATTCAATGTGACCTCTTCCTTGCAGGCTAGCCATGATCTCAATATCTGGAACATACACAGTCATCCTGTATTCATTCATGGCCCATTCTCCACATCTGTCCATCCATTCATTTACCTATTCATCCATACATCCACTTGTTCACCCACTCATGCATCATCCATCTATCCATCCAGTCATCTATCATCCATCTATCCATCCATCCATCCACCCTCTCTCATCCATCCATCCATCCATCCATCCATCCATCCATCCATCCATCCACCCATCCACATTGTCATCCATTCATCCACCCATCCAACCATCCATCCATCCATCCATCCATCCATCCATCCATCCATCCATCCATCCATCCATCTATTTATCCATCCATCCACACTGTCATCTGTTCATTCATCCATCCATGCATTTATCCTTCCTTAGAACATTCACACATTTGCCGATCCATTTATCCTTCAATATACCAATCTGGTCATCCACCCATCCATCCATTATTTATTCACCGAGCAAACTGGGTAAGCCTTACCGAGGTAGCGGGTCCTGTGGCTTTCCCTTTCTCTACAATCTTCCACGCCCCCCTCCCTCCTCTCAGCCATTCAACCTCGTCCATCCCCATCACCCCCGTGACTCAGGTCATGGCCTATGTCCTATGTCCTATGTCACAAGGGACAGACAAGATCTGGACCTGGAAAACTCTAGACCAGACACAACTGCCCCGTCCCTCTTCCCTCCCTCCCACCCAGTTGCCTGTAGAACCCTCGGCCTCATTCCCACTACTGCCGACCCTTATCCCTGACCCAGGTGGGGAGGGAGAAGCCCTCAAGCTCCCCCCCATTCTCCAGCCAGCTGGCTCCAGGAGAATGGGCTTGATGCTCCCAGGAAAAGGCCTGGGGATCCGGACTCCGGGGCAGCAGGGAGTGTGAGTGACGCCCGTCGCTCTCTCCCAGAGCTTCTAGGTGCAGTCTGTGGCCCTCGGCTGCTGGGCCTCATACATTTTGGACTGCCCGGCACTTTGAGATTGCTGGATAAGAGGGAATTCCAGATGGGCAGCTCAGCCTCGTAAAACCGTAATTGGCTGTGTTTTTATGATCATTATACTTTACAGCTTTTGCATTTCAAAGTGCTTTACTTTCATGAGTGCATGTAGGTGCCTGCAGCAGCCATGGCCGGAGGGTCAGGAGGGCAGTGAAGAGACCACGGGACCGCTCGACCGCGCAGGGGAGGCGATGCCCACCTGGCTGTTTGAAACGTGACCGTCTGTTGGAGAAGCCAGCGCAGTGCCCTGGGGTGCATGACACAGGAGGCCGTGGTCAGCCGGGCGAGGGTGGCAGAGCCAACAGACTGTCCCACCCGCCTCAGAGAAACCACCTGTCCTCAGTGGTCCAGAATGTGCCACAGACTTGAGGTTCCATGACGGCATCCAGCATCTTCCTCCTCCACCCACGCCCCGCAGGCGACTCCTGAGCAGCACTGAGCAGCAATCACCATTGTTCTTTTCTCTGCTAAATTGTCGTTCTTATTACTGACTGCAAACCAGCTAATTGAAATAGTCCCCACAGGTAGCAGATGGCCATGGATGACAGATGGGACCGGCGAATGCAGTCAGAACCAAGGTGGCCGAGCCGAGGCAAGGACCCGGCACCAACGGCGGCAAAGGAGGCCCTGGTGGCTGCTCGGGGTCCCCTCTGCACCCCGGCCCTCCGGGTTCCCGAGCCACTGGAGCCTGCAGACAGGGAGCTACTGGGATGTCTCTAGGGAGAGTCCGAGGCTACTGCTCCACCCCAGAGAGGGGCCCCGGGTGGCAGGGCAGGGCCGGCTGTGGCTTGTCACCCAACGGTCCTTTCTCTCTGGTTCAAGCTCAGGGCCGTGGTCCACCATGTTCCCACCCTGCCCTAGCCCTTCCCAGACTGACCAAGGTGCGGGGTCTAAGATTTCCCTCTGCCAATAGTGTCAGCCGCCCTGCCCGCTGGGCCCGGGGGTGTCCCTTCCACACGCCCCAGGGCCACCCACCCATCCCAGGGCCTCGGGGTGGGGGATGAAGGCTCGCCTCCTCCCACCAGGCCCCCTGCTCAGGCCCCGGCTGACCGAAACCCCCAGAAGCCAGGCTTGGCTCTTGGCTCAGCTGGGCCCTGTTCCCTCCCAACCTCTCCCGTGCGGGGGCCCCTCCCAGCACACACCCTCCTCCCCGGCACCCTGATGACCCTCGACCCTAGGCTCTTCCAACCCGCCAGTCCCCTCTGGCTTCTGAGCCCCTGAGCAGACAGGCCCTCTGCGGGGCCCCGCCCCCACCTGCTTCCCTTTGGCCCCTCCCCCTGGCTGATGCCTCCTTACCCTTCAGGGGTCTGCCCGGGTGCCGAGGTCACTAGCACTGAGGGGCTCCAGGACCGGCAACGAGTGAAGACAAGGTGACACTGGCCAGCCTGCCGGGGCTCCCTGCAGACAGTGAGACATCGGCCTGGGAGGGGACGCGTGGCCGGGTTTAGCAGCTGGTGTCCTGCTGGACATCGATTTCTTCTCTTCCTTCCTCCTTGGATCCATGCCAGCCTGGGCGGTGGGGACCACAGCGAGAAATGGGCCCATCTAGTAGGAAGCCGGCTGCCCCGCCTGGGCCCTGGCCTCCTGGCTCCCTGGGACAAACACCAGACGGTCCCCTGAGAAGGACAATGTCCTCTGTGGCCAGTCCCAGGCTCCCGTCCATGCCCCAGTCCCCCGGGAGGGTGAGCTAGGAGGCCGGAGGGAGAGAGGTGATTGCCAGCCATGCAGACATAACACTTGGCTCTGTTCCCCACCCCCCAGCAGCCCTGCCTCCCCACCCCGCACACCTGCCAGCGCAGCGGGCTGGCCACGGGGCTGGGGGCCTGAGAAGCCAGGCAGGACGTGGACCTAGGCGGGTCCTGGTTTTGTGAATGAAACATGGCCCAGCTTCCTGCCTGCTGGCCTCGCATGACCACCCCGTAACCTCAGGAGAAGCGCTGACCACAAGGGGAACTTCGACATCTCAGTGTGAGTCACACAGAAAGAAAAGAGGGAGAAATTCTTCCTGGTTTCACTAAGGCCTCAAACTGAGATTCATCCCAGAGCTGGGATGACACACCTGGCCCCTGCGGGAGCCCCCGGACTCAAGTAACCTTGGCCTCTCTGCCACACTAGGGGTCCTCTGTCCCCTTGCACCCCACTTGTCTGGGGCTCTTGACGGGGGACGGCTGTGGAGGAACCCGTCGCTTCGTCACCGGTTCGGCTCCTACTATGTGCCAGACCTTGTGCTGTGACCGAGACACGGGGTCTCCGCTCTCAAGGCGCTGCCAGTCTTTGGTGGGAGGGGGGACGAGTTGACACACAGGCATATGGAATAAAGCAATGGGCTCTTATCCGTGTCACAAAGGACAGGGCAAACTGCCTTGACAGGGACAGGTGGGGAGAACCTCGGAGCAGGCGACAGGTTTCGAGCCCTACCAGAACCCCTCGAAAATCAGGGGACGCGCATTCTGGATGGCGGGAGGGGCTGCCCGGGAAGGCAGCTGGGGGTGCTCTAGGAAGTGCACGAGACAGGACACACAGGGTGGCTTGCCAAGTGCTGTTGACCTCTGGGCCAGAGCTCGGTTGAGGTGGCCAAGCAAAAAGCAAGGTCGCCCAATGCCTGGGGATTCCGGTCCTGCAGACGCCAGCTTTGGGGAATCACAGTCCCCTCTCCCTGGGAGCAGGCAGGAAACCCCCTCTCTCCCAGGGGAGGAGGGATGGCCTGCCCACGCAACTCCGGAGCTACTGCCAGAGGTACCCCAAGCTTCTCCTGACCTCTGCCCCCTCCCCAGGAAGAGTCTCCCTCTGCTTCTCTCTCCTCGTCCAGACAAATCAACTCTGCTGTCCCTTTAAAGGGGTCTGAGTCAGAGTTAAGAATGAAACTGACTCTGGGTGGAAGGGGCGGTCCCGGCCTGGCTGGGTGCCAGGGCCGCAGGGGGGGGTGGGGGAAACGCAGAGGAAGCAGGTGACCGCAGCTGCTAGCGCTCTGCCTTGAAGGGCAGAAACCACAAAACGCCATTTGAATTCCGCTGTGCAGTGCGACTTGTGTAATGAGGTGCCCCTCATAATGGGGGCATTCAGGGCCCACGCAGGCCTGCGGATCTGGGGGCTGCCCCCCGGGGCCAGCTGATGGTGATGTCACCTTCCGTTAGGAGTCTCCCCTCCGCCCCAGCCCATTAAGGACTTGAGAAAAAATGCACCAGGAAATTGAAGCGGGAGCGGGAGTCTCGGTGTTATTTATAGTTGATAACTTATGTCCGGCCCGCGCCACGGGAGGCCCAGGGGGAAGATAAAGAACCCAAAGGAGGGGGTGACACAATGTCCCAAACCCCGGGATAACGTGGCGCCCTAGAGCAAGCCTAAAGCTTCGTTCTGAGCTCCCTAGCAGCCAAGGCAAGAAGGGACCGAGGTACGGCAGCATGACACCACGGGACACTGGGGGCCTCAGGGGCCGGGTCCAGGGTGCAGCCCTGCCACGGATGAGCTGTGAGACCTTAGACTCTGCTTTCTCATCTGAAAACGGAAAGAATGCTGAGGTGGTCGGGGCACCCAACACTGACACATGCGTCGTGGATGCTCAGCTGGTCTGGGGTCTACGGGCAGACAGCACGGTTACCCTGCCCCCTATACCCACGTGCATCCCCAAGCCAGACTCTGCCCCACAGGCCCACGCACAGTCTCCAGCGTGTCAGAGTCAGCCTGGGGACAGACCTGCTTGTCATCCGGGCCTGTAACTAGCTGAGGACAGGCCCAGGAGGGCTTCAGCCATCTCGGGGACCCCTACGCTGGCTCATGCCTGCACGCGGTGGGCATTCAATAAAAACTGTCTAGTAGAGGAGTGGGGGGAGGCGGTGAGAAGGGGGAGGGGAGGGGAGGAGGAAGACACAGGAGGGAGAAAACGGGGGCTCGGTTCCCTCATCCATTAAGCGGGGGTTTTAGTAACTGTCCCATGGAGTGGTCTTGATAGTTCAATGAGGCTGGGTGTGCACACAGGAAGTCCCCAGCGGGTGAGGACGAAGGTGACAGGGACGGGCATCATCGTCATCCCTAGGAAGACCTGACACGGGAAGTGGGGCATCACGGCCCCGGTCTGGCCAGCCCTCCTGACTCACGGGCGCCAGGTCCCCCAGGCCTGAGCAGGCCCCCAATGCCCCCAGCCCCCAGGACAGGGCCCGGAGGAGCAGGGCGGGTCGTGGGCGGGGTTTTCCAGGCCGCCGGCTCCCCTCACCAGTCAGGGCAGCTGGATTCAGCGATATTTCCCAGACTCCTGCTTGTCGACTTGACTGGGGCTCCTGGTGGCCTCATGGCCTCCCGTCCGGAGCTCAGGTCCTCTCTCCCTCTCTCCTCCCCTGCATGGCTCCGCAGCAGCCGTCACCCTACAAGGCGCTTTCGCCAGAGGAACCAACATCTCCTCGCAGGGTGGCCAGGCCGGGTGGGAGGGACGAGGCCACGGGGCCCGGCTTCCAATGCCCCCCGGAATGTCCGCCAGCCCACCAAGTGGTCAAGAGAAGCCAGTCTATATCCTCAGGGGGAACAGGTGATAAACAAGAGGACAGACAAGAATAAGCCCGAAGCGGCAAGTTGCGTCTGGGCCAAGTCGGCAAAGTGGCAGCAGCTGCTCCAGGGCTGGTCGGCAAGGCCAAGCCGCGAATGTGACCTTGAAACCGAGAACCAGAGCGGAGGAGATGCGAGGGGTGGGGGCGGCGCGTGCGAAGGCCCGGGTCCGGGAGAGCTCGGGGAGGCGGACCAGCAGGACCCAGAGGCCGGGACGGGGACCGTGCGTGAGCCGGACAGACCCAGGCGGGCCAGGCCTCCGGGACCTCGTGGTGCTGGACGTGTCATTGGCGTGACTTGAATTACCACTGAGAAGAACAGTTCTGCTTCTGAGTGAATCCTGACCTCCATAACCCAGGACGGAGGCCCCTCTCTTGGAGTGGTGGACAGCGCTCTGTGCCTGGGGGCGGGGAGGGGGGACAGCCACTCTGTGCCTGGTGTGGCGGGGACAGCCGCTCTGAGCCTGGGTTGCTCCATCCGCCTCTTCACCTACAGGCCCAGCACCTGGGTGGTAGAGAGCAACCT